CTTTGGGAATTTTCCCGGTTTCGGCGGAAGTCACTAGCGTAACGGCGGCTGCCGTCGGCGTAGTGATGCGCACAATAGATCGGGTTTTGATCGCGCGGTACATCTCGAAACTTACATTCCTCAATCGTATGGTTATGGACATCGCAGTTAGTGCACAGCTTATTGGAATCGCTGTTACCAGAACCAACAGAGTACTGACGACCAGCGAAGCCACCGTGACCACCAACTCCACCTCCGTTATTGCTGAAACCGCCTCGATTGTTTCCACCGCCACGGCCGAAGCTGCCGCGGTTTCCACCGAAATTACCACGACCACGAGGCGCGCCACGGGCAGGTGACCGGGACCGGCCACCAAAGCCACCAGCAGCGCCATCGTTCGATTTTTCTCTCTGGCTGCCGCCGGCATCCGATCGTGCTTCGTCAGCATCGACCGCATGCACTGCAGCTGAATCGTTTTTCGATCTTTCCTGATTCTTTCGCGCCTTGTGATCGATAGGAACTTGGAAACCATCTGGATCGTTAGACACCAGATAACGAATATACTGGCGAAGCTGATCGATTGTTTCTGGCTGTTTCGTCATCACTTTATCGTACACTTTCTGATCGGTTTTCAATCCACGCATAACGAACGATACAAAATGTTCCGGATCGCCCTGGAAATTCGCTCGATCACGAAGTATTTCCATCGTCTGGAGATACTGCTCAAGCGATTCTTGCCCAGGTCGGTATGATCGATTTGTCAGTTCCGTCAACGCGTTAACTGACTTCTTACTGTCACCAAATCGTTCAACCATCTTCGATAAGAACCCTTCGCTTGTAGTAGGTGCCGACGGCGAGGTCAACAACCCATCCAACCAAGTCAAGGCGTCGTCCTTGACAGCGTTAGCCAGATTGGCGAGTTTCTCCGACTCATCCCAACCGTTAGCTGTTGCTGCCAATCGGAATCGAAGGACAAAACTTTCGACATTATCTTTCGATCCACCGAACTTCGTTGGATTCACCGTATTACCCTTGAAGATCTTAGCCGAATCGGCTTTGACCTCGGGCAACGGTTAAACGATTTCCTTAGCGATTGTCACTTCCTTTTCGGCATCGGCGGGAGAACGGGCAACCGTTCTCGACCTACCACTCACTGCCTTATCGATAATTGTTTCTTTAATCGACTGTCAACGGCGATATTCACCACTTCCGGTTGCTTCACCAGTCCGTTTTTCAACGGCCGGCGAACAACCACGACTAATTCCGGTTCCGCATCGTTCAGTTCGCGACGGTTGTCCCCGATGTCCGGCAGGCTGTGCCGGACTAACAGGGCGCGATCGCAACTGATTCTCCAAATCTTCGCACATCGTTTGTAGAGCATCATAATCTACCGCTAATCGATCATACCTATCCTGAGCTTCATTACGCTCACGGCGGTATCGATCTCGATCTGCCATAATCTGTTGCATTTCGGCATCCTGCTGCATCTTGGCATGACCAACCAAGAGCAGCTTTCCGCCATACTTCTTCACTTTTGCTTCCAGTTTCGTCTTCTCATCGACCAGTCCTCGTTGACTGATCGCGACTCTATCCTGAAACTTCTGCCTTTCAGCACGTAATCGAGCAATCGTTCCTTCGTGATCGGTAATCGTATCATCGCGTAACTTCAGAGCAGCTCTAAACGTGGAAATCTCTGCTTGCAGAGTTTTCAGACGCTCCAGAGCCTCGACCAAAATCGATTCATCACCACCATCGGTTTTATCGGCATTTGCACGAATGACTTTCTTTAGTTCAGCGATTTCCTGGTGAGCCAACGTTAGCTCGTCCTGTAATTTACCAGCGACTTCGCCCGCTAAACGCAGGTTGTGTGCGTACTCGGTACCAGTCATCGCAGATTTATCGATCGAAAATTTTCCTATTTTCTCGTGGTTTTCGGGCTCGATAGCCGACCGAAAACTCGTTTTACTTTCGTTCGATGATGGTGATTTTTCTTTTCCGAGCTTAGCAGGTATTTCGCCCATCGTCGGAAGCGGGCTGCGTCGTACAACCGTGCTTCGTTTGAAAGGCGTTCGCAAATCGACCGCTGTGGTGTTGTGGAGAGTGAGTTCGCCCTCACTGTCCACTTCACCCAGCGCATACGGATCGCTATAATCTTCATTTCCCATCAGAATCGAATCGATAGACATTTCACTTGATCGCGAATCGTTCCGGTTTCCATCAGCTACTGATGAATTATCGTTCCTCTCGTTATCGACCATATCAGCGATTTTTGACGTTGACGCCGGGCGGTCGCCGTCAATCGCTTCCGGAATTACTGCCGATTTTTCTGGGAGCGAGCTAGGCTCAGTGGTTTCCCGTGCAGGGGCTTCCGACTGGACCTGTCGATGCTTCGTCCCATATCGAGTGTTTACCGCATGAGTTACTGGAGGAGGGGGAACTACTACCTTCGCTTTCGTCCCTTTTTTAACTGCTGGCTTCGGTTTAACTGTCTGCGTATTCATCGATTCATTATCCTGATTTATCGCGTTATTCGATTTGCTACGAGGAGAGAGGTTCTGTGCTATATTTTGCACCGAATCTACAATCGACGAAATGAATCCTTTTCTCTGCTGTCCTGTTGGTGATCTTATCATTTTCGAATCGATAATATTAAAATCAACCTCAAAATCAATCGCAAAACTCAGTCGATAATAGTCTGAATTAAATTCACGATTAATTTTCAAATAATTTCTCACAACCTCACTTCATTTCGTTCACACACATGGTATCGTTTCAGTCAACACGCATAATTAATCGATCAACTAATCTCATTTTTCAACGAAATTAACGATCGAGAATATTTTAGAAAGGTCAAAATCACGATATCATTGAATCAACACGGAAAATCAAGAAACCAACGCACGAACGTCGAACAATCGCATCAGGGCAAAAGTTCAACCAGGCATCGACACGATAATGACACATAAAATTTCGATTTTTACAGTATTATTATCGCATCCGTTATCATCGATTTCCTCTTCCGATAAAGATCTATACTTGCTTTTGCAAGCAGAACTTACCAGAAATATCCAGGGGTCGTCAAAACGTGAAGAAACTCGTCCGTGCTTCACAAATCCGTAGGTTCTTCAGTTGCCACCACGCACTTCCTCAGGACTCAACCGTCGATCGCAGGGCTTGTTAGGCGTCCTCCGATCCACAGGAATTCAGGAAAATCGTTCGGGTGGGCTGGGTATGGGGGAATAACGTTGCTGGTCCGGAGACACAGCAACAGGTTGAATCGGGAAATTGGAATCGGTTGTTCACGACGGTGTCGGTGAATTTCTTCGCTCCAACACGCTATCGTACAGGGATCCACTAGGAATTAACCGTTTGCGCCTAATTGTCGACACAAACAGATTGAAAAACACAAAGTAATCGTAAACTCGCTCGTCAGGATTAGAAAACTCGGCGCATCTGCTCAAACCACGCTTCTCCTTATAGATCGTAATATCAGTACAGGGTCGTTACACGACTCGCATCTCCACCATGAAAGGATGGCTGATTTGAGCGATACGTTTGTACGTGAGCGAGAATCGGGATCGGAAATGCAACCAAACGAGATCGAATAAAATCGTATTTTATTAGATCGTAAACAAAAAGACCAATCATCAGCGAAAAGAAAAACAGAAAAACACCGAAGTGAAAATCTAGAGATCTTTCACTGAGGCCAAAATCATCGTAATGAATCGGTGGAATCCGATGAATGGAGATCGCTGCACAAGAGCGGCTCGGCAGCTCCGAATCGGCGGTCCAATCCGAGACCGACATGAGCTCAGAGCCGAACGCTCTGGCAGGCGGTAGCGTGATATCATCTCCAGCGTGATGGCGGTCCGCCATTGTCCTATTGACCATATGCATGCTTTATGTATGCTCTCATCGTATGCTATAACATATTCGGCATGAAAGGGTTAATCAGCTCAGCCTTTTATTTAGCTTGGTTATGTTTGTTTTGCTTCTCTTCTCTTGGTTAAGATAAATAAAAGACGATTAACCACTTGGCGGTCGATGTCAACAAAGATTCGCTGTCAAAAACACGTCTAAATGGCGTACAAGCTTGTCCCGTAATTTCCATCGTAAAGGTACAGCTAGCGCGAAAATTTGCGCTTGAAACGATGGCCACGTCACTACGCTAATCTGATTGCCTAAATCCGCTCCGTAGTTAGATTGTCCATTACCACACCGACTGTTTCTTAGTCACCTCACGCCAAGCAGTTACTGTTATTCTCATTAAATTATATGGTGTGTACCAAGCCACCAGAAAGCCAAATGCATGTTACGTGTTTAAACAGTGTGGCGTGACGCGCCGTAGTACGGATTTACGCGCAACACGTTAATTTGTAATGTTCGCTGTTCTGATGCGATGGAAATTACGGGACAAGCTTGTACACTTCAATATCTAAACAGCTCAAAAACAGAGATATACATATCTGTACAGAGTACCGGGTGGCTGAACAAAATTGTATGGGGGTCTGATTTGCCAGGTGGTGATGGATCCTTCCGCAGTGCTGGCCTACTGCCATCTTAGTTTCATTCAAAAGAGTAATGTCTTTCCCATAGGAATTTTAAGAAAAGCCAAGATTATTTAAGACTTTTGAACCTTTTTCTGGATTATTTTGAAAAATGGTGGATTTCGAGGGAGTCCTGGAAGCAAAAATTTAAAAATAACCATTTCTAAATCAAAACTTTTTGTTTTTCAGCTAAGTTGATTAATTTGTCTTACTTTCGCGTTTTAGATAGAGGGGCTGTTTCTTGTTTTTTTTTTTTACTAAAAACAACCGCAATATTCTAGCAACTGTATTTTGCCGGTAATCGGGATAACAAAAATTTCCCACGAATTATTTTCGTGAAATCCGCAAGAAGGTTGTTCGAAAACAAATTTTTGATCAACGCTTCGCAAGCTTATCTGGTTCAATTTTTTTCTGCAAGGACTAGGTAGCAGTTAGAGTTGAACCGACATTAATTTCTTGCTGCAATAGGCGTGCATCAAAATGTTTTACAAAAAATACTCATAGAAGTAAACCTACAAACCGGCATTTTTTGGAAATGTCACGAAGTACGTTGTCTGCATAGACCGTCAACGTCATGCAAACTGCACAGCCATCTCATTAAAGCGGCCGTCGAATGGCACTACATTCTCATCGCCTTCCACTCCTCGAGGCGCTGACCGGCAATCTTCAGCTCCCAGAACTCCACACGACATTCGCGCCCGGCAACGTTAACGATATGTAGCCCAGCCCGCAATGCGCCGTACGTCGCTTCCTTATATCCTCCGTCAATGTACGCTTCCACTGGCAGACCATGCTTCAAGGTGTCCACAGCCCGAACGGTTTTATCCGGTTTGGAAAAGGCAACGCGACCTTTGCCCCGTGCATACACGACACTATCGCCGACAGTGGTGGCAGGCATCCAGTAGCCGGTTTCGAACAAACCGTACACGAAGATCTTCTCATCCAGTTTGTACAAGTACTGCGTCCCAATGTTACACAGCACATACTTGCGCGGCTCCTTGGAGAATTTCTGGAGGTTATTACTGGCTGCATGTTTGATCTGGTACAGCGTATCGAGTTCCGTTTTTGTCAGCAGCTTATCCTTGTCCTACAATGAAGCGAAGCAGTTCTGGTTCAGCTGATAGTTTCTCGCCTTTAAACACAGTCTGCCAAGATAAATAAATTAATACGAACCTTAAAGGGACCCGTGGCCAGCTGCTCGTCGGTCATTAAGGGAAACCGCACACGGTATAGTGCACTACCCAGGATGCGGCGCCGATGGGCGGCATCGGCAGGCAGATTCTTCCGCGCGCAAGCAGCCCTTGCCCATCTGTGGACATACAACGATTTTTTTATTTTTATTTTCCCCTACGGTCTATCTCACCCATAAGCTTAATCATTAATGATGCCATCCATCAACTGTTATTGGGAAATTAATATTCTGGTCAGTGTTCGAGCAGGCTGAGGATTTCTTGCACTGTTTTTCTATGTTCATCAACATACAAATTACTCGTACATGTACTTCCAGAAGCATAAAAGATTTTCATGTCCGAAAGTCTTCCCAGTAGCAAAATATCAAGACAGAACAGGGTCAGCCCTGTTTTTACAACAAAAACAACACTGTTCGTGGTCGATATCTATCAAAAGATGAAACTCTTCATCTTCCCGATAGAAGTAAGGAAAATTTGTGTAAAACATATGTTGCCCACACCTAACAAAAGTTAGCTCGGAACTATGGTGTTGCTAAAGAAGCAGTTTTTACGCGCGAAAAGAATCCGGTGGTGTCAAAAAGCAGTAAAGCGGAAAACCAAGAAAATGTGCGTCTTGTAAAAGCTAATTATTTTAATTTGAAAAAGTTTGGGTTTGGAAGTACATATTTTACCGTTATGACAATAACAAGATTACAACAAGCATTCAATAACTTTAAAACGATAATGGAAAGAAAGCCTTGAGGAAAAGAAAGACGTAATAAAACAAGCGATTTTTAGGTGTGATAGGTGTAAGACTGCCAAACTACGTATAACACCCACTAGGCTGTTTTCTTATGGCCATTTCTTCATCGATAATTGAACTCTTATTTTGTCTTTCGATAGCTTAGCGAATAAATTATGCATATAAATATTTGGATGGCTTAGCGCTTAAACGGCAAGCAGGGAAAATAGGGGAAAAGTTATAGTAGCGCCCTTCCTACGTTGATACAATAATGCTTGACCTTTGCCGCCGTGCGAACGCTTGCGAAGCGCCGACACGTCGTTTCGTATAATTCTGCGATGGTTGTAAGTTTACACACAGAAAATTGGCTACCTATTTTTTTCTGCAGTGCCACCTACTTTTCCGCAGCCAAGTAGACGGTATTCTCTTCCGCCGACAATGTGTTGCGCTGCAGAAGCATGTCCAGCGTTGTCCATTCCATCTCGCTGAAATAATCCGACTGGAGAACAGCCTCGCTGGATGCATCCACAATGTCCCAGCACTTTTCGATCACAACATCGCAGTCCTTCGTCCAATGCAGCGCCTACCAAGCCGGTCAACTTGTGTGTGCATTTGCGCAAAGCACAGCGTTTTACTACTATTCTACACTCACATTTTCCAGATGCATCAGGCAGTTTTCCGGTTTCAAGAGATCCAGGACAAATTCCGTGCAGAGATCCGCCAACCACGGTAGCTCGTACTTGTCGGCGCAGTACAGCGTTGGCTGAACATTGTCTTCGTTGAGATCCTTAACCGAGCCAGTGTAAATGTAGCTGGAAAGTGAAAAACGGCTCATTTTAACCAAGATACTTTGTCCAATACGCGAATTCATATTGTGAAAATGTCCGGAATGCGAAAATCGTCGGGGTATAAGAAACACGCAGTCAAACTAGAAAATGACTGGACGGTTACCTGAGCATGTTGGTGAAGGCCTCCGGAGTGATGTCCGGGATCTGGATGGGTGTGCCGTTGGGCTCGGCCGAATTTCCGGTCAACATGTTGTTGAATGCGTCGCTGCTGATGCTAAGCGTTAACCTAACGAAAACTAGGGAACTTATTTGTTGCCACTCGCGAACGAGCGTTGTCACACCATGCCTGTGAGCTCGAATCATCTTCGCTGCACCACATTCGATATCTCGTCCGACGGCGAATTCCACATCCGTTAAATGGTTATTGGCTAGAGCATGGTTCCAGCGATCGGCAACCTGGGGGAGTGCGCCTCGACGATGCGCCCTGGCAGTTGGTGTGATCGTGGGCGTCGTAGTCATGATTGTAGGTTCCGCTAACAGGTAACGTCACTAACTTATGAGTTATTATAACCCGCAGATTGCAGCAAAGCAAATGTTCAGCAAAGGCGGTGCACCAGCTTCGGTGTAAGGAAAAAACGATGTACCGTGATCCGCTAGGACCAAACTGAGAAATCTGAATGTCTCCGTGACTTGGAGTTTTTCGTTTAAATTTAGCAAAATCCTCCTCTTTCCTCCTGAAGACAAAAACACTGGAACCGATACGGTAATAATAGCAAAGCGCTATAAAGTGCATGGAAAAACGCTGAATGCACCGGATGTCAAACAGACAGAATGATTAGTCGTATACTCCATAAAGACATCGGTAAAGTTCTGTCAGTTGCTAGACAACGACACAATCTTGCTATACGCTACAGCATCCATAATATAATGTTCCTTTTGTTGGGCCAGTCGCTATGGCAGCCTACGAGTAGACAGCCAGCGACAGTCCCGCTTCCGGTGTGCTGACTCACACCGAGTCGCACTCGCTCTCGTACGCCGTATCGGCCTCGACTCTGGCTCGGCTACGCCTTACCACGCCTTCGGCTATACGTCTCGGCCAATCAGCGTTCGTTCGCTCGTGTTGGATCAGCCCAGTGCCGCAGATAGGCATTTTCCATGTTACGGCTCATTCAGCCGATCATTCTTGTCAGTCATGATTTTGCTCACGCACTGTGATGTACTTTATTGCATTCACACAATAAAGCCTATTTCCTCACTATCGTGAGCCTCTGTTCGCCAGCTGTCACATGCTAGCAGATCTCGGTTTTTCCTTCTGTGGAACCTTTTGAGAGACGGTGTAGACCTACATCCGTAACGGCCAACGAACAGGCAGGGGAGAGCTGAAACCCAGTTCCCATCCCCACCCGAACGTTGCCAGCCAGAACGGTGTTCTTCTCTCTTGCGGACGCGGGCAGAACGACCTGCGGACCCTCTTCTCTTACGCGGACAGAACGATCCTTGCGCGGACGACCAGCGGCACGGATCTCACGGACCTTCTGGACGGAACGTTCTGGATACGGGTTCGTTACGAGAGCCTGCAGCGCGAAGGATTAATCATACGGGGTCACCTTTGCGTTAAGTCGCACCCGCAACTTTACCATCGCGGACAAGCGGATCAAGCGCGCGGAATCCACCGGATAACCCAGCAGAACGACTCGGATTAACCCGGTAAAAAGGGTCGATTGACCCTCGGTAAACCCTGTAGAGCCTCAGTAGACCCGATATAGCCGGGCTACTTCGATTTTCCACCGACGAAAACTAGTTTCGGTCGGCTAGAAACCTTTTTTACCCGGAAAAACGGGCTTAGAAACATCTTTTACGGGTAGATTAGGGGTTAGCCAACCTTACTAGGTCGGACCCTCGAAGCCTCGGTGTAGACCCTCTGAGCCTCGGTTAACTGCTTCCTATAATTTCGGAAAATTAAGGGATAAATTTTCTCCCGGCTAAATTAATTTTGGTCGGCTAAATAAATTTTTCTGAATTTTTCCTGATTTTTTCGGAATTTTTCAATCGCGGAAATTAATTAATTCAAATTTTAAAATAATTGTGACGTCACGGTAGCCGATATACAGTACTTTACGGCAGCCAATCAGCGTAACGGGGAGATTCCCTATGCTAAGTGCCCGTAGTGAGTCATACATGTTTACAAATTTTTGCGCCCGGCACTAAACTTGTGACGTAGGCAGCAATTAGCAAGATCATTTTGTGTGACGTCACAGTGCTTAACGACCGTAGTATAGGACGTACGTAATAACCGTACCGTACTGTAACCTGTACTGAGTCACAAGTAGTACGAGCACACCCACCACATCACCCCCCCACCCCACCGGACCTGTGCCCCCCACGGACCCTCGGAGGCTCTTCAACCCAAGGAAGTCCGACTCAACCGGAAGTCCCCAATAGGGATATTCGGTTGATCCAACGGAGGCTCGAAATCAACTTAGCGAAGGTTTGACTTGACCAAGAGGTCCCCAATAGGGATATCTGGTCAACCCGGCTGAAGCGAAAACCGCTTAAGCCTCCACCTTCAGTGGTAATCGGACATTGTTGGACGGACGTCCCCAATTAGGGACTCCGACCGACTTCCGCAGATTGCCGGAACCACCGCATCCGGACCTTCGAGGCCGGACATATCGAAGCCTCGACCCTTGACCCTCGAAGCCGGACGTACCGAGGTTGATCAACTTGAACCCGTTGACATCGGACGGTCCCCAAATAGGGATAGTCTGTACGTCTCGGCAGAGGTGCTGAAGCATCAAACCGATTACCGGACCCTCGAAGCCGGGTATACCGAAGCCTGAACCCTCGAAGCCGGACGTACCGAGGCTGAACCAGCTGAACCTGTCAACATCAGACGGCCCCCAAATAGGGATAGTCTGTACGTCCCGGCCGAGGCATCACATCTCCATTTCCTGGGTTACCAAGGCTGAGCGTCAGAATGAGCGCTCAGACCCGTAGTTACCAGACTCCACCGGAACCGATGAAGACCGGGGGCTACGACCCTCATCATGTTAGTCCTGCTGGCCGCGACGTACCATCCACGGGCCCAATTAGGCTAGTGGGGGTACAGGTAACCCCTTCACCGGGACAGAATGTCCCTCATATCGGCCTCGGGGCTTCACCTCAGTCGGACCCTTGGTACGCAACCCCGGTGGACTGTAGACCCGACCCATCAGAAGGGCGCGAACAGAACTCGCCACTTCTCCAGCAGATTGCTGGCCTCCTAGGGCAACTGCAAGCGAATTCAGCGCAGAGCTTTGGCACCCTACAGCAGAACTTTGGCATCTTGCAACAGAACCAGACGGACACCCTGCAGGCCGTCGGTACTTTGCAGAAAAACCAGACGGAAACTCTGCAGGCTGTGGGTACACTTCAGCTGGAGCACACGGAAACCCGGCATGCCCTCGGCACCCTACAGAGTGAAACCCAGCATGCCCTTGGCACCCTGCAGCGGAACCTCGGCAACTTGCAGACGGCTACCAGGCAGGACATGGAAGCCTTACACCGGCGGATCTCCAACTTGGAGCAGCAGCAGCCTGTGCTGGAGCCAGCGTCACAACAGCCTCATTACCCGGCAGTTATTGTGTCTGCACCTCAGAATGAGGTTACCGGACCCCATCCTGCGGATTCCAGCCGGGACCGACCCTCGAGGGTGCTGCTAGACCAGCAACCGAAGCACGTTCTGCCGCAGCAGACCCTAAATATGACCCAAATAGGTCTAATTGAGGGTCGCGACCAGTTACCGGACCATTACTCGGAGTCATCTTCATCCAGCCCGACCCCCGGAGACCCGACTGGGGCTTATCGTCGACTGCAGAATCAGCCGACTTGGGCAGATCCTAGCCTCCGCATACAAATCGCCGGACGGATGCCGCAGAATGCGGCTGCGCCAGAACATCTGAGACCATTGGTACCGGGAGATCGACCCAACTTGGTCGACCCACCTGGTCTACCCGACATACAGGGCAACCATCCGGCTCAGTACCCGATTCAACCTCCGGTCCCATACCTGGCTCAACCCCCGGCTCAATACCAGGTTCAACTACAGCCGGCTCAACCGCAGCTCATTCCGGTGGCCCAACAAGGCTACCCGGCCCCTCAACACGGTCCCGACGCAGAACGTGTCTTGGCAGCCCTACGGCATGCCCGGGATCGCGAGGAGAGATTGCTTCGGAGGATTGACCGCGGCAACCGACCCCAGTTACCGAAGTTTGACGGAGTCTGCACAAACCTGGACAGATGGGTGAAATCCATCCGACGGATTTACGGACCGGACGGCGACCTGGATGAACCGGACGTGAACTTCACGACCGCCCTGGAAACTGCCCTCTCCGGCCCGGCCCTCGAATGGTTTGAAAACCAGTCGACCTCCGAGCCTGAAGAAGGCTGGACCGTCAATGAATGGCTGGATAAATTCATCGACCGGTTTGCGGAGAGCAACAAGCAGGCCAACGCCATAGCGGAGATCAGCCAACGGACGTACCGCTTTGGGCTAGAGACACCGGAGCAGTACTACGATGCCATGATGAATATTAAGGCACGTGGTGGTCTTTCGGAAAAGCTGGCCCTCACCTACTTACGGAAAACGTAACCGAATCAGAGTTACGCCGGGCTTTGGACATTAGGATGCCGGAAACCACGGCTGACTTCTTAGCATATATCCGGAAGTTCACCGCTGGAAAGCCGGAGTATAAGATGCCAATCGAGGACTCAATTGTCCGGAACGTGATCCTGGCCCCAAGACATGAACGAGCAGTGCACTTTGCGTCCCCAATAGGGATGCCAGCCGTGCAGCCCCGGGCCCCGTTGCCTTCTTACGGTGGTCCCGGCCAGTACCCAGGAAGTGGGTTCGCCGGCCAGAATGGAGGCTACCACGGAGGGTGCAATAGCGGAAACGGATTCTGGCAGGGTACCTATGGTCAGGGGAGAAACTTCGGCCAGAATGGTCAGAACCCCTGGCCTAATCAGCGCCAGCGGACCCTGGATGCCTACGTGGACAGACAGGAGGGCCTGTTCTGGCAATGGACATTCGAGAATGGGATTACCTGCGGCAATTGCATGTGGGGCAATCACCATAGCAATGCCTGCGCGTACGCGAACGTTGACCCGGCGTTCAACCCGAACCTGCGCTGGTACAAGGACTGGCGTCAGAGGTATGATGGCGGTTGCCCGATAGGCTCAGCAAATCCGAACCGCGCGGCCTTGGTTCCTTTGCGCCCAATAGGTGCAGGGAGACCGAGAAGAAGGGTCAACCGGAACCAGCCCCTCGAAAGAAGGGTTAATGGTGGAGGTCAGCCAGATGAAGGTGGATACTCCTCCGAACCTGACGGATACCAGTATCCCGCCGGACGGATGCAGGAGCCAATAGCTCCGCAGCCCTCAGGGTCGGCACCTTACGCCCCCAATAACGGTGGAGGATCAGCCCCGGTATACCTGACGGGAAACGAGTATGGTCAGTAAGAAACGGTGCCTTAGCTGACCGCTTGCCACCAACCGAGCCACCGGACAAAGACAACCCATTTGGAGGATCCGCTGCAGGCGCCCATAATCGCGCCGGAGTTTCCCCACCCGACGAGAGAATCTTCGCCGGACCTCCTAAAATTCGTAAGAAAAAAGCTAAAACTTCAAAACCTAAGAGGTTACCGAAGAAAGGGGCCACCGTAGGCGCCAA